ACTGCAGGATCCCACCCTAATTCTGCATGTGCCTGTGCTACCACAGGTTATAGCTTCTATGTAGAGTCACAGATCCAGTAATTTAAAGGCCAGAACACAGCACTGGGATTATGCATCTGATTTTTTTTGGTATAACAGTGGTCACAGAACCCCATACAGTAACTCCTCCTTCAACTCTGCAACTGTGATTTGTGGCAGAATATACTTTTTAGGCTTTAATCCCACCTAACCCTAAAGACACAGCCCTAAATGAAATATCAAGGGATTAAACTTGCAGTTGAAAAGTTCGCTTCGTTGTTAGCCTAAACATACTGCTACCACCTCTGCCATCCTAAATCTCCCTGAATTTTTCTTGATTTCTCTAGCTTATGTTCATGTCAAACCTGGGAGTGTCTTTAGGCTAACTGTGATGAATTTACAAAGTCTCCCTGCGTAAAACATGAGCCCCAGGTACATGATCATTCTTGTAGCTCTTTTTTGAGTCCCTTCACATCTCGCTTAATAAAGAAATCTATGAGTGGAGTTGTGCACTCCTCGCACTGGGCACTGCACAACGTTTCTCATTACCGGTCTGAAGAAGTTAAAGCTATGGAATGAGAAAGGATAAAGAAGAAACTTTGCATAAAACAGGAGTAAATAATTAAAAATATGTTAAGCAATCACACAGAATTCATTAGTTAATACTGTAACTGTTGTGCCTGCATAAAACCACCCTCTAAAGACAAGTATAGTTTTATTACAGGATATATTTCACCTGCTCAGTAATTATGTCGTTTAAGGTGGCTGTTAATGATAAAGCTGTCACTACACAGGTATTTAGAGCTGAAAATTGCTGGCACAATTAAAAATAACTACTAGAAAATACATGGGCAATGCACAGTAGTTCCTGTGGTATCCAAATCCTTTTTTAGTCTTTAATCAGAAACCAGAAGAAAGAAAAGAGAATTTTTATCATGTTGTTCCTGTTGAATGCACAGCATGGAATTATGGAATTTACCTTTGAACTGCTAAAAATCAGATATTAAAAAAAAACAACAACAAACCACCAAACAGAAAAACCATCTAGATAGAGTGCTTCCAGTGAGTGAAGCTGGAATAATTTTATTTCAAATATATTACACATTTTATTATTCACGGTGTTTGTTTGCTTTTGGGGCTTTCCTCAGCTTGGACAGTGGAAACACGTTCATCTGTTTCTTTTTTGGCTTCCAGTCGGTTTCACTTTCAGATTCTCATGTTTCACACTCCAGTCTTCAGGTTTCAAGCACTGCAAGGGAATACTTATTTCATTTAAACAAACAAAAAACCTACGGCCGCCGGGTACACACGCATGTCTGTTGGTCTGCGGTTGGGGTGCAAAGCTTGATCCCTTACTGTCCCCCGAAGCATCTTCAAGCTGATTCTCTGGGATTTGCAAAGAAGAGAAATGAAATAAATAGGGGCGATGACGAATTAAGGATCTATTAAAAAAACAAACAAACAAACAACCAAACAAAAAAAACAACCAACCAAAAAAAAACCCAAGAGTCACCGCGTTTTGCAGTGCTCCCGGACTAACACCAATAAAATACCATTACGTATTACCGATTTCACGATACCTGCGTGTCGGACTAACGATGAGGAGCCGTGACACCAGAGTTGGTGACCTGAAGAAGAGAGGCTCCCCAAGGCATAAGCAGTGACGGCGGCATTGCCCCCCGGCGGCTGCGGTGGGGCTGGGAGCCGGGCAGCCCCCTCCCGCCGGGCGGCGGGGAGGAAGGGGGCGGCGGAGGTGGTGGTGGTGAGAGGAAGGGGGTCCGGCAGACTGCGCGGCTGCCCCGGGAGCGCGGTTCCCCCG